AGAGAGAGAGGGAGGAGAGAGAGAGAGGGAGGAGAGAGAGAGAGGGAGGAGAGAGAGAGAGGGAGGAGAGAGAGAGAGGGAGGAGAGAGAGAGGGAGGAGAGAGAGAGAGGAGGAGAGAGAGAGAGGGGAGAGAGAGAGAGGGGAGAGAGAGAGAGGGGAGAGAGAGAGGGGAGAGAGAGAGAGGGGGAGAGAGAGAGGGGGAGAGAGAGAGGGGAGAGAGAGAGAGGAGAGAGAGAGGAGAGAGAGAGGAGAGAGAGAGAGAGAGAGAGAGAGAGAGAGAGAGAGAGAGAGAGAGAGAGAGAGAGAGAGAGAGAGAGAGAGAGAGAGAGAGAGAGAGAGAGAGAGAGAGAGAGAGGGGGAGAGAGGAGAGAGAGAGGAGAGAGAGAGAGAGAGAGAGAGAGAGAGAGAGAGAGAGAGAGAGAGAGAGAGAGAGAGAGAGAGAGAGAGAGAGAGAGAGAGAGAGAGAGAGAGAGAGAGAGAGAGAGAAATAAGGGGGGTGGGGGCAACCTCTAGAACCCCTAAAAATACATGAAATATGGGATCACTGGATGTCTGCTGACCAAATAGATCAGAAATGGTCAGCATTGAAAATTTCACATAACTTGCATGGTAACCAGGGATTGAGTGGGCTGTGAGAGATGTTTGTGTTTGTGTTTGCCTCAGACAGGTCATAACATCACTCACATGGCACATCACTCAAGACTTGCAAATCAGACTTAATGGCGATCTTGCTTTCCAGGAAGAGAATAATCAAACCCCACTATTTCCTTATGCTACCCCATGCCCTCCCCACCTACTGAGTCTTGAATCACTGCTACTGCCAACCACCTGAAACCGCTACATGTACACATGACATCATAGGGAATCTGTGCCAGAAAATCACCAAAAATGGAAACAACCTGAACCTCTTGGTCATGGAGGACATGACATTGTGACGGAAAATATCAAGTTGAAACGCAGATGGCATGTAACATCATGTACCACAGTGAGTAGATATGGCTAGCCGAAGTTTACCCAAACTTTTAATATTCTATTACTTTTGGTAATGAATGACATGAGGATGGGAATATTACCAGCGCAAAGTGTTAAAAATACTAATCTTACGAGTCCAACTCACACACAAACACCAATTACAAGATAACAAGCATTCACCGAGACTGTCCAGCTGCTGGAATATACCATAACCAGAAGCCTAACTCACTGGCAACAGGTGACGTGTCATAATGCCATGGCAAATTAGCAAAGTGAACACTAACGTACAGTCATCCTTGCTAGGTTTTACCACAAACTTAACTGCCATTCTTGTATTATGAAACATGACTTCATTCGGTAACTTTACAGAACATGACTAGGAAGCAATGGTATGGCCTCCACATTTTGCACTCCAGCCACAACCAACAAACATGGGAAGGCAGAAATTTGACTCCTTCCATATTTCTTGATAAATAATCAAGGAAGTTAACATGCTTCACTTAGCCATGCAACCACACGTCCATTTACTTTTTAAAAAAAGTGATTTTAGGATCACAAAGAATCTCGGTTAATGTTTGATTGTCACCCACATACCCTAGACTAGCCTCATGCCTGTCCGTGCCCTGGCAAAGAACAAAAAACCTCTAGCATGTTTATTCTGGAAATGCAGAGCTTAAAGACCTTCCTGCTGATGTGCTGACATACAAGGTAGCCGGTAAAAGCTCTATCTTACCAGACTATTTGTGGAAATTTGTTGGCATGAGTTGAAGGCAGAGAGATAAAATCTCCATACTCACAAGAACAAAAATTACTTTGTCATCATCTTATATCCATTAAAAATTCCCTTTATAATTCGCCACAATTTCAACTCTTGAAAACCACACAGCAAGAAGAATGATAAACAATACATGAAAGTAACAGAATAGTGAATTTGAGGACACTTTGTTTATCACACACTGAAAATAAGAACGTTAAATGAACAAACACTACGACTGTCGTAGTTAAGCACTCAATACCCCTTATGCACCTTCAGCATTCATGACAAAGTGTATGTCCTATTTCTATTCATTTACTTTTTTTTTTTTTTTTTTTTTGGGGGGGGGGGGATTACAATTTCCAACTTGCAATAATTGTGTCACACGAGAAAGGTCTCCTCTGTAATAAATAACCAACCTGTCCATTACTTGTTCCATAGGCCTTCAACCACAGGGACGCCTGAGGATCAAACCAAACCACCAAAACCTCCATTTAAAAAAAAAAAAGGTAGATTTCAAAACCTAATTTTTTAAATTAATTTCTTTCCTAATTTTCTTGTCGTTTTTCTAAAATTAAAACTCGTCGTCGTCGTGTTTTTTTTTTTTTTAACAGACGTGATTTTTCAACTTCACCAAAATTTACGAGTTTTTTTTCCCCTCCCCCCCCACCACATGCAAACCAAAGGCAGGCAGATCAACGAGAGACAAGAGACGGAGGCCAAAATAGAATCTAAAAAGAACGAAAGCCTTCCAAGGAGGGAAATTTACTTAC